GTACTCATGGTCGTGCATGCCGTAGTCGTTCGACCATTGACCTCGCATCCCTACAACGCCGGGACGGAGAGGTGATATGCCGGGTTTTCGCCGGCCCAGGCTACGCTTCACAAGGATTGACCAGAAGCTGGCCATCATCCTTGCGTTTGCTCATGGGCGGGGGGACTACGTGCTCTTCACGCGAACATTATCGTTCATTGCGGCCCGCAAGAAAAGGCCAATCAAACAAACGCTGATGACTCTCTTGACAGGAGGAGGAAACAATGCGAACGGAAAGCAAGAGAAAACAGATCCATACCGAGACGATTGCGATGCGGCCGAATCTCTTTTACGCCGGCCGCCCGACCTAGCCACGCCGTCGCCTTGAGCACCTCTTTCGCCGCGGCCGCGCTGTACCTGTCTATGCTGCCCAAGGCCTGCGGAGCGGCGAGGGGGGCGGCGGTGAGATGGACGGGTTCGCGACGCATCTTTTTCTCGCCCGCTGGGCTGGGCGACTCTCATGCAGTTGAAGGAGTGAGCGGCGAAAAAGAGGGCGTTCTGACCAACTCGCTCCCAGGGATGAGGGCTTCATCCTATCGCACCGCAGCCAAAACTACTCCAATTAATAGAACTATGCACGCTTTTACCGCCAAAGCAGCAAGCTCACCTTGATGAGCCGCCCAACGGCGCCCGGCAGGACCACTTCCCGAAGGACAGTTTCCATCCCGGAGGAGGTGCTCCCGTCTGGACCCCGTTCCTCCCCCCCCTCTGCAGTCGTGCCCATCCCTCGGGCCACCAAAGACGCCGCGCGCAAAGCCCCCACGGCGTCTCCCAACAGCAACGGCGAGGTCATCTTGACGACGAACGTTTCAAGGAACCACCGGGAGTCGTCCATCACGACGGGGCCCCCCGCCAGGCCAATCAGCTTGCGCGCACAGGCGACGGCCGCGGCGAGGGCTTCGCGGCAGAAGGACCGTGCAGTGGAGTGGACTTTCGCCCCCTGGCTCTTGGATCTGGGGGCGGGCGCGGGGGAGGTACATAGGCGGCGGAAGCGAACAGAACATGCCGCGGGACGATGATAGTGCGCAGGCTTGATGGTAGTGCGGGAGCAGAACACGCAAACTGCTTGGTGGGGGGGGTGTTTTTTAATGCGAAGACAACAACAACAACAAAAACAACGTAAGGAAGGCGAAACCACCCAAGAAAAATCAACAACACCATGCACCAAGTTAAGCAAAAAAAAAAAGACAGCCGTATCAACATGCAGCGCAGAGTGAACCGGGTCGTCAGCGTCACTCGCCTAGCCAGCAAGAGCTTCAGTCTGGACGGCACGCCCTCCAGCATCGACAACGCCGCCGGGACTCGGTGCTCCAGACAACGCAATCGCGCGGACTGCGGCGAGGAGGGTGGGCGTCCGGACAAGAGCCGTACGAGCCACAGCGGTAAAGCAGCACAGGAAGCCGACGATCAGTCACTTGCACGCAACGTTCACAACATTCACCTTCATAGCAGTAGCAAATGCACTCATAGTGACGCGAACTCGTATGGAACGACTTCGTGCCCCCCTCGCACGACGCCTTCGTGTGAAATCTGGAGAAAAGGCGTTGTTCACACTCTCGACAAGCCGGAGACACCAAAAAATCCACGCCAAAAGATTGAAGTAGGCACAACATACGGTAGGCCTTGTCGTTACTGGTATACTCAAATCCTCGTTTTCGACTGTCTCTCTCCATCTCTATCCGTCAATTGCAGCCGAACGAATCAATTAACAGACTGCCAGCGTGCAAAAAACACACAATACTCAACACATCAGTGTACCACTGCCAAACGAACCAATCCACCAGATTTCCGACGCGGAAAACGTGCTGCCGCAATCAAGTGCGGAGAACCTCACAAAAACAGGGGCAAGTTCCGTAGATCTCCACTTCTCCTTCCTCACCTGCGCGCACTCCTTGAGCGACACGAGGGCGGCCTTGACGCACTCCGCCTGCGCGCTGCTCTCTGGGACCGTCTCCGACAAGCACAGGAGACACGAAAACGCCTCTTCCACCACCGCCGCGTGGCTCTCGGAAGGAGTGCCATCTGGCCCATCCTCTCCATCGGCCCCGGCCGCCGTAAAGGCCACAAGGACAGCGAGGACGGTGGCAAGGGAGGACACCGATGCCGGCCGAGAAGCACTGGCAGCTGCCTGAGGGAGGGGTGGTACGTGAAAAAGGGCGAATTGGATATCGGGAACGGGCAGAGACAAGGGCGGGGGCACCGTTAGAGGTCCCGAAAACATCGACAATAAATGACCAAGGTTCCCCTTGTAGGGGGTTTCGCATGATTGATCCGCTAACTCCCTTCACCCACAAAGAATAGAACAACGCCAAGAAGATTCTGAAACAAAAGCTCACCTGCGCGTGGTAAGATATGAGGGTGGCCAGGCGTACTGGCAGGTCCTCATCCCCCCCGCCGGGCCAAACGTCGAACGGACACTCCAGCGGCTCGGCGAGGGTGACACCCGCGCGCCGCATCCAGCCAGCTACCCACCTCGATCTCGCCTTCCCGTCTCCCGAAACCCGACTCCCCTCCTCTTCATCATCGTCGGCACCGTCTTCTTCCTCCTCGTTGTCGCTATCGAACGGATCATCGCCGTGTTCGCCGCTGGGGTCACGATAGATTTCATCGTCGCCGCTGGCCGCCTCGGCGAGACCGCTTCGGCTGGCTGTCCGGCTACCGCCACCGCTGCCGCAGAACGGCAGCAAGCAGATCCCGAGCATCTCCACCCACAGCTCGAGGGCATTCCGCTCCTCGATGGTGATGGTACGTCCGCTTTTAGATGGGAGTCCGTCGTCGTTTTCCTCTCCTTCACCCTTATCTTCTCGGCACGGCACTGCAACCCCTTTTGCTGAATCGTGCACCTCGGCCATCGTGGTCATCACCAGCACGCAAGATGCGACCGGCCTCGCGAGGGATCGGCAGTCTGCGGAGAAGCGAGCCGGGTATGCTGTTGCCAACGCCTCCATGTACCTGCAGCAGCTGGTGAGCAAAACTGCGGAGGAACCGGGGGGGCGGTAGGTAGGGGGGAGTAAGCCACGCCGGTGTACATCGCTTGAAAGGACACGAGCCAAGCCCCAATTTTGGTACAAAAAATGCTTCAAGTGCTTTGCTTGCTGAGGCGTGCGGTCACCCAAACCCGGTACCAAGGATCTCCAACCGAGAACTGCTGCAAAATCGGCAACACCCACGTGCTCATAGCCATGGCCAAAACCGAGCGACCGCGCGAGAACACTCTCCCGCATCAACACACACCAGGTGGGAAGACTCTTCGTCCGCCTGAGCCGTGAGGAGCCGCCGCCGCCGCCGCCGCCGCCGCCGCACGCTCGACCCATGCCAGTACCCTCCTCGACGTTTCACTAATAGTTTCGTCCAACGCGAGTATAGCGGCCTCATCTGTACCAGCCGCGCCTTTGAGGCGAACCTGGCTAGAGCTCTTGATTAGCTTGGCCACGCTTTGGACTGCCTGTGCCTGGTTGATGGGGCCGGTCATGGTTCAAAGGGGTGGCAAGCAGCGAAAACGTGGATGTTTGTCGTTGGGCTATTGTTTGTTTCTCGGAAAGTCGAGGTTGAGGTGGTCCAACAGACGAAAAATGCTAGCAGAAGCCAAAGGGATGCTACAATTTGTAGAGGATGCGCGACCATATGTACCTTGACGAGATCAGTCGCTAGGTGCTCCCCGCTAAATGACGTGCGATGGAAGGCTCCACTGCACTAGACTGCATTTCACGAGAATAAGCCGCCGAAGACGAAAAGTATCAGCAGGAGTCTATGCATACATGGACCACTTTTGGGCTTGACGCCATCGGTCTCGCCCGTGCTTTCGTCAAAACTGCATGTAAAAGAGCGCCAGGAGCTGAAGCCAAGAGAACAGACCCACGGCCAGTTGCCCTTTGAGAGACAGAATGTAGAAGAATTTACCCTGCACTCTTACTCCCAAGGTTTAAATATGATTGGATATGGCAATCCATGTCATGAAGGAGGATTGGGCTTCCAGCCCAGCTTATATGTAGACAACACTAAATACCCACACACAACCCCGTACAACAGCGGACTCCTCTAAATAGACTACAACCTCATCACTCTTGAGCTGTTGCGAGTGCGCACGAAAGAAAGGAAACAAAGTATCAGTGGCACCTGCGCACTAGATGAGTTGAATCCTGGACACACCTTGCCAGACAAATACGCCAGCACACCAGAGCATCATCCACAACCACTGCACAGCAGTCCACTGTTTAGTGCTGTTTGGCACGTCTGTCTGACCCTCCCTGTGTCTCACATCACATGTGCTGCCAATACCAGTCGCCCTCCCTGTTGATTCTTTTCGAGGAGTGGGAACGCAAACGATATACTTTCCTGTCAACCTTTACACACCTTCACGGCAGCATCATCTTCGTATGGATCGTCCATGTCGGGTGGAGCCATTCGCCGACAAGCTCCTGCAAGCTCCTCCTAGCAGCCTGCTACAGGGCCAGATGATGAAGATGACCTATCACACGCGGCATAATGACCTGCGTCGAATCTGCGGAGATCACGATGGCGGGGTCCATGAAAAAAAACACGTGTGCCTCGTCGCCCGGATACCCCACCTCCCCATTGCCAACAAGACTGGGAGCTGGGAGCTGGAGAAGATCACAGCAGCGCTGTGAGCAGCGGCTACAGCAGCCGACAGGCGGCGCAGATTCCGCGTCGTGAATCTGCGTTGCAAACCGCAAGAAACAACGGGATTCATTCAGCGTGGTTTTCTCGTGAACAAATCGTGCCCTGCCTTGTTGTTGACCGGGAGAGTCCGTCGTCGTCGTCGACGCTGCTCTTCATCGTCGTTGCGCCGAGGAGGCACCAAAACGAAATGTGCCAAGGTGCGAAAAGCTGACAGAGAGAAGAGAACTCAGCTGCGTCGGCGCGCGGATGGAGCCTCCCTGTAGTCATAATGTGCCTGCCGCCCCGGGCACCGCAGGTATTGCCGCCGTGTGGTACATCTGTGTTGTCTCGGAAACAAATCAAAGACGGATAGGGAGATTCATTCAACCTAAACTGCCGTGTGTCATCTGTCTCTCACTCCATTGTTGTGTGCACATTGAAAAGAGGGGCACACGTTTCGAGCGGGTGCGCGGTTGGTAGGTCTGTTGGCAGGGAACTCGACCGCGTGCTGCCGTTGCGTACGCTGGCCACGAGTTGCCATGAAACCGGCCTCTGCAGGCGTGAAGTTGAGCAGTTAGTTCGATACCCCTTGAGGAACAAAGTCGGCAGACACGTTATTTTGTGGGGTGTTGCGGGTTCACGAGGATACTGCGGCCCAGCTGCACACGCATGTAGAACAACAACGACATGTGGCTGTGTTGGACATATCAAAGATGGGTGGTAGAAGGTGCATGTCCTCCTGGGCTGCCGTGTGCTGGCGCTTCGAGCAAGTCTTCTGGCGGGGTATATCTGTGTTGTGACACTTTATTTATTTATTTATTTATTTTTTGTCTTCACTTCAAATCAGCGCTCACAGCACTGGTGCCGATTACTCCAACCCGTGGACACACAGAAGAGGCCCTCTCTACAATCCCCTCCTGCGGTACTTTGCCTTCGATTTTTAATGCGAGAAGAGTTCAGCACTCTCTTCCCTCTTGTGTACAAACGAACTAGCGCTATCCACTAGGCCAGGAGTGGTAGCGAGAGAAAAACTCACTGTGCAAGAAAAGCTCGCTTGCGCCGGGATTCGAACCCCCGACCTGACCTCTATTTAGAAGGTTTCGGGGATACCAACTAGACCACCAGGGCGACCGGTATCTTAGTGTAAGGGCGGGTATGAAGGACACCCTTCCCCCCTGTAAGGACACATTTTTTGAAAACGTGCATACGTACGTGACTATCTGCCGGCCCCCCGCAGACTATTTTTTTGAAATTTTCGCGAGGCCGTTAGCTTTCGTTTGCGCACCACCACGCATGGTTTCGCGTACGCTAGCACTTTTCTCGGCCTTGCTGCTAAGCATGGGCCGGTCTAGTGTTGATCCCGAAGCCGCTGCGAAGGCCTGTGAAGCGGTCCGCAGCGGCAGCATGTCACGCAAGGCCGCTGCTGCTGCCTTCGGGGTGAACAGGACGTCGCTGCTGCGGCGCCTGAGCGGTGAGTGCGCGATGGACGCGAAGGTTGACCACGGGACTGTGCTGACCAAAGCGGAGGAATATGCGATGGAAGATGTCCTGCTGTACGCTGGTCGGAACTATGTTCCTCTCACCACGGCAGACCTCCAGGAGCGTGTGAGACAGCTCTGCAACGACGGTCGGCCGATCCCGTGGAACCCGGACAAGGGGCCGGGGAAGGCCTGGCTCTCTGGTTTCCTCGGAAGGCACGAGCGCATCAGCCTTCGACTCGCCCGCATCTACGAGGCCAACAGGATGACCTGTCCGGAAGATGAGCGTGTGCACAAGTTCTAGTCTACGACTTCTGGCAGCAGTTCGTCGACGAGCACCAGCCGGAGCCCGACCACGTTTGGAACACGNCGCATCAGCCTTCGACTCGCCCGCATCTACGAGGCCAACAGGATGACCTGTCCGGAAGATGAGCGTGTGCACAAGTTCTAGTCTACGACTTCTGGCAGCAGTTCGTCGACGAGCACCAGCCGGAGCCCGACCACGTTTGGAACACGGACGAGTCAGGTGAGCATAGTCAAGGGTAGTCTAGGGGGGGGGCGTACCCGTAGTCGTGCATGCCGTAGTCGTTAGACCGTTGACCTCACATCCCTACAAAGCCGGGACGGAGCACGCCGGGTTCTCACCGGACCAGGCTCTCACATCACCAAGCGCGAAGCTAGGTAGTCTAGGGGTGTGCTTAAAGCAGCAGTGCTTTCAGCAACAGCTGCTGTGTGACGCTCTGCGGGTTTGCTTTGATGTTTTCACCAGCGATGCACACAATGTGAAAAAAAGGCAGAGATCTGCTGCTGCTGAATGGAGTTCCCCGGCTGCGTGGCGTGTGTGTGCAGCGAGAGCGCTGCTGGGTGAACGCGCACCTACTGTTTCATGTACGCTGGTTGTTGTCGGTGATTATATCGGCGGTAAATACACACGGTGCTTCAAGAGCAGTTCACATGCTAGTCCACATGTTCTGTGCGCACCACATGCGCGGAGTTGATGTGTGCCAAGTTGAAGTGACATGAGGTGATGCTGCTGTACGTGTCTTTCCCGCCTGCGACTACAGTTGCCCTGGTTAAAAATGAAGCCTTATATGTTTTTCCTCCAGGCCCACAGGCTACAGTAGGGTCTACTTAACAATATGTGTTCAAACAACTCTGTAGCTTCGCCGGGACTTACACATGTAAGGTTAGACTACATGCATCGCACCGGCCTCTCCCCTAGACTATCCCCCTTCCCCCCCGCCGTCCTCGTCGTAGGCTGGACGTTGGTGGGTGCGTGTGAGCGCAGCTCAGCCTGTACTTACTGTCCTCCGCTTTCACCCCCCCACGCGCGCGCTTTATCGCCCCAAATAATTGTTGTAGGTGGTACCATTCAAGGCACGCAGGGAGGGCGGGTCTTCGCGGAGAAGGGGCAGCCGGTGGTCCCCCAGATGCGTGCCAACTAGCGAGAAAACTGCACGGTCGTCACCATCATCAACGCCGCCGGCGCCGTGCTGGACCCTACCATCATCTTCAAAGGCAACGTTTCAACGGAGATTGGATCGCGGACAGGAAGGGTCCGCCGGGTGCGACGGACACCTGCACGGAATCGTCCTTCATGTGCGGTGAAGTACATCAAGAACTTCCACGAGCAGCTCGGCCGGCGTGGCTTGCTCGACGGAAAACCCCACGTGCTCGTGCTGGATGGGCACGCGTCGCACGTGAGCTTTGAAGCTATCCAGTTGGCCAAGTCCCTCAACATTCACCTCGTCCAGCTGCCCTCCCACATTCGCACGTCACCCAGCCCTTGGACGTCGCTGGCTTCGGCTGTTTCAAGAAGGAGCTGACCACAGCGATCGCGGCCTTCCCGTCGAAACACGGAGGGGCATTGCTGCGGAAGCGGGACATGGCCGGCTTGATCGGGCAAGCGCGGAGCACGAGTTTTACGCCGGAAATCAACAAAGCTTCCTTCGCCGGGGCGGGCCTGTGGCCGGTGGACAAGGAACGGGCTCTCACTCGGCTGCAGCGCCCGAAGAGGAAGGCGCGGGAAGCCGACCGCCCTTCCCTGCAGGACGTCCCCATCGTCGTGAGCAACGAACAGCTGGAGGAGCTGTGGGCGAGCGCGGCGTCCGCAACGCCCGGGCAGAAGGCCACACCATCCCGGGAATTCGCGTGAGCACGGTGCTTCTCGGCCCTTACCTGTCCAACAACCGCCCCAAGAAAAAAACGTCAACGCGGGCGAGTTTGGGCATTCCAAACGGAGGACTCCTCACTGATGAAGAGTGGATGGCGAGGCAAGAGGACAAAGAACGCGAACTGCAGGCTGCCGAGGCCGCTAAGACGGCAAAGGCCGTGGCGCGAGGGTTGTTTCTTTGCGCAGAACCATTCAGGCAAGGATCGGGTTGAAATTATGCACGAACGCCTTGAAGTTTGTATGTGGAATCGATTTCACACGGTAGAGAGTTGAGTATAGTTTACGAGGTTGTTTGGGGCAAGTTAGGTGTTGGAACAGCACCGGTGGGGGTGGGGCAGGACGGGCGGCGGACAGTTTGTCGCAAACCCGGGGATGGTTTATTTTTGTCCCCTGGGCTACGTTTTTTTTTTTTTGCTTGTCCAACATGTTTTCTGCAACATCCAATTCGTTTCCATCAACCGGCGTCTCGTGAAGGGTCGATCTGGGTGCAAATTAGTTGGTTGAACAAGTCGCAGGTTTTGGAGGAAAGTTCTGCCGTATGCGCCGAAAAAGAGGGAAAAGTGTACCCCATGTCTGGACAGGCGTAACGTCATGCCTAGGTGTTCGTTTGCCGTAATTTTTTTCTTTGTGACTCAGAATAGGATCCACACCAGTCAATAAGTCATCAAACTAGTGCGTTTTGGAGGTTTGAAGGGCCCCCAAGACGGCTTATATGACGTCCCTCGAAATTGAGCCGCAAAACCGGGGATATTATCATTTTGTCCCCGGGTGTGCACCAATTTTTTTTTCTCGATTGTATCGAACATGCGTTATAGTAAGAGCGCATGTCCCAAATTTCAGGTCTTGAAACGCTTTACAACCTGCGCAATGGACCCCTACCCGAAAGGTGTCCGCAAGACCCCCCCGGCCGTTTCCCCCCGAATTTTTACGTAGAAAATAAGGATACTTCGCAGGCTATAAATCCTTGCCATTTCATTTTTTTTCAATTGTTCTTTTTCTATCTTGTGTTCTATGTAAGAATCTATCATCCGATACCTCCACCTTATCGTTAATCATCGTGACCCCAGAGAACTAGCTGCCGAAGTCGAGGGGACCTTAGGGTGTCCTTAATACCTGCCCTTTACCACTTCTCCCTTCTTCCCCTCGCTCCTCGACAAGCTTTTGCTTAGACATGGGTTGTAGTGAAGGGGGGGGTCTTTCTGGCGAGCAGGGCTAGACTCACCCTCAAGGGATGACCGAAACCTTCTTGCTGCTGCGCATATCCGCCGCGAGGCATGCGCGTGGTGGTGTAGTTGGGTCGGCACTGATGGGGTCAGGCGAAAAAATGTAGATGCGCGGGCCTCTGGCCGTCGGCGTAGGCAGCGAT